AGTTACATTTAAGCTCTCCCTTCAGCTATCTCGCTCTCTCTTTTGCGCTTRCTCTCTTACGTTGAATGCTTCGAGCACCAACATTAAAATGAAATCGAGTTTATATTTCATTTAGTTTTTCTCTTATTATTATTAGCTATTGTACATAAATACTATTTATATAATTAAGTAGATTTTGTAAATATTAATTTGTTTTCTGTTATTTTCTTTTTTTTATTCTTAATTCTTAATTGCTGATTGCTATTGTTGTTGTTATTGTTGTTGTTGTAATTGCAATTGCAATTGCTGCTGTTGTTGTTGTTGTTTTGCTTCTTTTGTGCTGCTTTAATCGAACTGAAATCTTTGATATAACGCCGCCCTAACCCGCCAACCCGTGTCCAACCGTCCAACCCAAACAGCACCTCGGCAATGAGCCTCCTCTACGAGTGCATCAATACAGTCATCGCCGTCCTCATCAGCATCAGCAGCGGCATGCCCAACCACAGCGCCTCCATCCAGCTGTGCGTGCAGAAGCTGCGCATCCTGATTGTCGACTCAGATCAGAATCGTAAGTATATATCTATATATTGCATAGGTCGATTCATATTCAAATGTTACGCATCCTTCCACCATCTCACTTTCGTCTCTTGATTTACTTACAGTCAAATATCTAGGCTTGCTGGCCATGTCGAAGATACTGAAAACGCACCCGAAGAGCGTGCAGACGCACAAGGATCTAATATTGGCTTGCTTAGACGACAAGGACGAGTCTATACGACTGCGCGCCTTGGACCTGCTGTATGGCATGGTGTCGAAAAAGAATCTCATGGAGATTGTGAAGCGATTGTTGGGCCACATGGAGCGCGCCGAAGGCTCAGCTTATCGGGACGAGCTGCTCTACAAAGTGATCGAGATATGTGCACAAAGTTCCTACCTGTACGTGACAAATTTCGAGTGGTATATGACCGTGCTCGTTGAGCTCATCCAACTAGAGGCCGGCTCCAAGCATGGCCGTCTAATAGCCGAGCAGCTGTTGGACGTCGCTATTCGTGTGCCCGTGGTGCGTCAGTTCGCCGTTAATGAGATGACCAATCTGCTGGACACATTTGCTGTTTCGACCCAAAGCAACTCCATGTACGAGGTGCTCTATGCCGCCGCCTGGATTGTCGGCGAGTTCTCTGGCGAATTAGCCGACACCGAGAGGACTCTCAACATTCTACTACGACCACGTAAGCTGCCGGGCCACATTCAGGGGGTATACGTGCAGAATGTGATCAAGCTGTTCGCCCGGCTTGCCACCACTTGCCTCGAGCTACAGGATATGCCCGGCATAGTACGGGTAAGTCCATCCATTCACACCCTACAGCTTCTCCTCCTCCTTTAAAGAGAGGAGTTTTGACGCTACGTTGATGATGAGTTTTACATGAAATCTGTAGATTTATCCTAAGATTCCTATTGGCTTTACCTTTACTTATATCCATTAAAATCTGTAAAGGTATACATACACATTTCTAATCGGGACGACGTGTTGACACGCTCTAGTCCATGTCCATCGAAGACAACAATCTATAAATATTTTGGTATCATTTATTTTGATAACTTATTCCTTTTGCTTATAATCGATAAAAATCGATGTTTCTTTCCACTGAGTTCGAATACCATATATGACAAGGAAACATGTTATTTCTTAAAGTATAAGACAATGCGGTTAATTGATCCACACTTTGTACTTCGTGTGAATTCAGCTGTGCGATCATGTGCTGGAAAAGCTGCAACACTTCAATGGGTCCAACGATATTGAGGTACAGGAGCGCGCCAACTCTGCCTGCATGCTAATCGAGATGCTGCGCAAGCAGTTGACTCAGCCAGAGGAAGCGTCCACGGGGTCGATACCGCCAATGGCCATTGAGATTGTCCAGGAGATGGCGCTGCTGTTCGCTGGCGAACTAATACCTGTGGCGCCCAAGGCACAGCGCAAGGTGCCGCTGCCGGATGGACTCGACCTGGACGAGTGGATCAATGCGCCACCCCCTGACGACGCAAGCAGCACATCTTCTGAGCATGACAAGGATGAGCTATTCGTCAGTGCCGTTCACGATGGCAACGATGCCACTGGTGGAGGCGGTGGCGGCAACGGCAGTCACTCGGGCGTCAAACGACGCAAGAGTCTGGAGCTAACGCCAGAGCAACTGGAGCGCCAACGCATGGCGCGTCTCATCGAGCAGTCGAACAATCCGCATTACCTGAAGTCAACGCCGAATTCGGCGTCTGCGGCCATTGGCAACAGCAGCAATAACTCGAATGCCGACCAGTACGACAACATCGATGACATACCCATAACCGAGCTCCCACTGGACATTGAGGGCGTGGCTGCGCTACGTGTGGGCAGTAAGTGAAAACAAGTGAAATGCCATGCATTTGTTTAACTGTTATAACAACTTTTGCAGTCACAAAGCGTTCGGACAAGTATCTGAAGGAGCAACAGGAAGCGGCGGCGCACAGCAAAGATGCCAAAAAGAAGCATAAAAAAAGCAAGAAGAGCAAAAAATCAAAAAACAAAGTTGCCTACAATAGCAGCTCCGAGTCGGATGCGGGTAAGCACTGTGCTAACAGTAACTCAAAATGAAGAAATTCTATAGTGAAAAATGTTTCTTTTAGAACCCAAGATAGTGCACATTGTGAACACGACGTTGGACATGCCCGAGGGCGTAACGTTGTCCGACAGCGAGGACAAGGATGGAAAATACGATCCAAATGATCCGCATCGTGCACTCGATATCGAGCTAGACATGTAAGACTCTATGCAGGAGCTGAATCCAAATAGCATTTGATTGATAATCTCTCAATAGGGCCGCCTTTGAAGCACCTGCAAGGTCATCGAAGACTGCGTCGGCGAGCGGCAAGGAAAGTGTGAACGCTCAAATCGGGTCAGCCGCTTCCGAATCCATGGTTCCCGAGACGGGGGCAATGCTTAGCAAAAAGGGTAAAAAGTCTAAGGAAAAGACGCGAGGCGAGCACAAAACGTGCAAGGCTCAGGCGCAATCGCAGCCGGACTCTGTGCCCGACTTGATTGACACGGGGAGCAGTCCCTGTCGAACAGCAACAGATAATGGCAACAACAACAACAATAACAACACTGCCCCATCACATGTTGAACACAGCCAGCATCTGAAGAAGAAGAAGCGCGAGAAGAGGGCGCACAAATCAAGCAAGCTAACGAACGACGAAGCGACCGCAAACACGTTAGGCTCGACGACTATCATTGATGTGGGAGAGACGTCCGCTGCGCACCCAGAGGGTGACGTGTCTGCAGCTGTTGATGCCAAGGCGCATAAAAAAAAGCATAAGAAGGACAAGTCCCAACACAAGGAAAAACGGACACACAAGTCACCCGCATCGGAGTACGAGCAGCCGATGGGCATATCGACGCCCAGCAAGGAGATTTTCTAGATAGTAGCTAGCCAGAGACATGCATAAATCAATCCCCATTCACCAATTCCAATATGCAATATGCATTAGTTAAGAATTTTTAAATTAAGTTTAATTAAAGGCCTACTCCTAATCCTACGTCTAAATTATCGCTGCGATATAAAAACAAATTGAACAAATTGAATTAAAAACAGATACTACTAGTAATACAAGAGGAAACAAAAACATGAATTAATATTAACATTGTAATTTTTATAGCCGCAGTTGCCGTTGCGGCTTGAAACAGGAATAGAGAAAATGATGAACAAACAAAAGAAATGAATAGAATTGATGAATAGTAATATTTCTATTTTTTAAATGAATTTGTAGCCTAGAACCGGGAAAGAGATTCCATTATAGACAGACAACATACAATTCGATCAAACCACATTTCAAATATTTTGTAAAATAAGCGAATTATACATGCTATAGATTGTATACTACATAGAAATAATATATAAACGTTGAACCAATAGAGTGCATATATGTGTATATATATATATATA